TTTTTTTTTTTTTGGTTATAGTTGTCGTTGTTTGACAGGCCCAGGCTGGATTCGAATCTGCCAGCTCTGGTGTATTTGGCTGGTGCCCTAGCTGCTTGAGCTACAGCCACTGAGCTTATATATAAAAATTTTCATTCTGAGATCTAGCCAGGAGCAGGACATGTTTAATGTTCTCTGCTGGATTCCGCTTCATAGTCCCCTGTTCATCTTCTTGCCTAGTTTTGGATTTTGTAAATGAATGATTCAAAATTTGTGATTGTAAGGGGACCCTGTTTGGGTGATGGGCACACTTTTAGCCATTTCTCAAACATTACAAAAGTGTTCCATGGTCAGGCATGGTGGCTCATTCCTATAATCTCAGCACTCTGGGAGGTTGAGATGGGTGGACCCCTGCCCCCCCCCTTTTTTGGCAACAGAGTCTCATATGGTTGCCCTTGGTAGAGAGCTGTGGCATCATAGCTCATAGCAACCTCAAACTCTTGGGCTCAAGTGATCCGTTTGCCTCAGTTTCCCAAGTAGCTGGGACTACAGGTGCCTGCTATAATGCCTGGCTATTTTTTGATTATAGTTACCGTTGTTGTTTGGCAGGCCCAGGCTGGATTCGAACCTGCCAGGTCTGGTGTATGTGGCTGGTGCCCTAGCTGCTGAGCTGAAAGTATTGTTTTGAATTACTTTCTTATTTGTTTCTTTCTTTTTTTTTTTTTTTGACACAGAGTCTCACTTTATCACCTTTGGTAGAGTGCTGTGGTATCACAGCTCACAGGGCTTCTCCAACTCCTGGGCTTAGGCTATTATTCTCTTGCCTCAGCCTCCCATGCAGCTGGGACTACAGGTGTCTGCCACAATGCCCGGCTACTTTTTGTTGTTGTTACAGTTTGGCTGGGGCTGGATTTGAACCCACCACCCTCGGTATATGGGGCTGGCTCCCTACCCACTGAGCCACAGGCGCTGCCCTTGAATTACTTTTTATCAAAGGCATCTTTGTGGCGGATTTACCAAAATTCTAATTCAATAATCTCCTTCTGTCTTGCCCAGGATAGAACATGAACTTTTTAACATCTCTAGAGACCAAGGAATTTACAGGTGGGTGGGATTGGTTAAGGTTTTTTGGTCCAGTGCTGAGCTGATGATTTGTACTGACATTTGTTCTTTGGTCCTGATCAGAAGAGAACTGTGTCCATTCTAGTTTCAAAAGAAAAAAAAAACTCTGATGATTTTAAAATGGAAACTATTAACTGAAAACTGAATAGTTCTTAAAACAGCTCAAGTTTACATGGAGAAAGTTCCACAGAGGCATAGCAACCACTATTGAAGAATGTCCTCGTTATAAATACATTTTCTCATTTTACTGGAGGCTAATTAGGATGGAAGCATAATTTAAAATTGTAGTTCCTGGTATATATAGACACAGAGAAAGTAAACATTGTCAAGAATTCAGTAAATATTTATTCAGTGAGTACTGTGGCTGAAGCAGTAGGGAGGTGTTTGGAGACAGTGATGACTAAGATAGCTTCCTGCCCTCAAGATGCTGGATGCTGTGTTTTTTTGGGGTGGGTAGTAAAGTCTTATTTTGTTACTGGACTTATTTTGTTACATGACTCAAAAGAGTCATGTTTTACAATTTTGATAGGTACTACAGTAATAAAAATAAGTCTTCCTTTCTTTATAAAAGTCAGTGTGTTTGACTAGATACAGTGGCTCACGCCTATAATTCTAGCAGTCTGGGAGGCCAAGGGAGGAGGATCACTTGAGCTTGGAAAGTTGAAACCAATATGAGTGAGAACAAGACCCTTTCTCTACTAAAACTTAAAAATTCTCACCAGGTGCAATGGCTCACGCCTATAATCCTAACACTCTAGGAGGCTGAGGTGGGTGAATTGCTTGAGCTCGGGAATTTGAGACCAGCCTGACCAAGAACAAGGCCCCATCTCTAAAAATAGCCAGGTGTTGTGGCAGGCACCTATAGCCCCAGCTACTTGGGAGGCTGAAGGCAGAGAATCACTTGAACCCAGGAGTTTGAGGTTGCCGAGCCCTGTATTTATAAATTTGTTACTAATCCTACATGAATTATACATTTATTATATGAGCAATGAATCTACACATGTGATTGGCTACCCCTTCTGCCATCAGACCTCAATTTCCTCTAATGCAGATGTCTTCAGAGGCTCTAAAGTAGCCCCACCTGTGATTGATGGGGATGATGCTAGAACATACTCTGCTTAATAATTCTTTAAGCACATAAACATTTAAAGCACCCTTAACCCCACCAAATACAGGGCTCGGCACCCATAGCTCATTGGTTAGGGCACTGGCCACATACACTGAGGCTGGAGGGCTCCAGCCTGGGCGTGCCAAACAACAATGACAACTACTAAAAAAGAAAAAAAAATAGCCAGGAGTTGTGGTGGGTGCCTGTAGTTCCAGCTACTTGGGAGGCTGAGGTAAGAGAATTGCTTAAATAGCAAAGTATCACAAGAATGAAAGAAAAAGTATCCAATGTACACAGTCCTATTTTGAAACTAATTTATAGCTTTCATAGGGATGTTATAACCTAATTATAGCCTTAGAATATGGGAAGGGGTGGG